CTCTCTCTCTCTCTCTCTCTCTCTCTCTCTCTCTCTGTGTGTGTGTTATGCATTGTAAGCATTGAAACAGAAAAATACTAGGCAGCTGTGCTGGCACAAAGTAAATCACACAGTCCACATTTACTGCAATTCAGAGATAAGTGTCTGCTCCTCTTGGTATCTCCTGAAGAAGACCAGGTCATAATTTTCCTGAGATGTCATAAACATGTTTTCTTGTCCAATATTTCATAGGAATTGGAATCCAGTAAAGTTATCATCAAAAATGTAATTACAAGTTCAAACATGTTGACTTCTGCTTCACCTCTTAAGTCCCAGAGAAGTATCAGCAAAGGGACCAATGCTGGCAGATGGAAGTGGTTAATATTTATTTCTTCTTTCACGTTTGTCCTCGGGATCCTCAGAATGATCTTACTCTGCTAGCTAGTGAAATTTGGCATATTTTGTGAGCCACACATCAACCGATGCTGCGTGCCTATTTCAATCAGGAAGGGTTATGTGGGCACATGTGAATTTTCTTGCAGGGGAAATTATTTCATTGAGAACAATGGTGTTTGTAGTATTATTATTTTTGTTTTGGCCTCAGGTGACATGCCAGATTCCTATTGCAAAATGCACCATCAGTGACCCTCTTCCTATCCTTTACAAGCATCACCAGTCAGGAGACATCATCATTGGTGCCATTATGTCTCAGATCTATGTCTTCTCTGCTCTGGTAACCTTCACAAACCGTCCCTCTCCTGACCTCTTTGATGACATCGTGTATGTATTTTTTTAAATAAAATGCTCTGAAACGCATCCACCTGGCCTTTTGGTCAAAAGCTGCTTCATAGATTGTGAGTTTCAGTAGATAGTTTGCAACTTACCGGCATTATATTTTGCATTTCTGAATGAATGATAAATCCTAGCTCTGATGTTTGTTCCTCTTTCTTGTCGTTAATGCCAGTTATGTATCTTATATCCCAAGCATTCTTCCATAACCAGACCATTGTTTCCGATGTCCTAAGTATTAGGAGCACAGGACTGGATAGGATGATGAAAATACTCTCTTTCCTAGTCTTTTTTTGGGCTGACGTTATCAGAGACAATAAACGGGATGGTTTCCATTTTGTTGCTTCTATATATATATATATATATATCTTGTAAAGCTTTTACCTAACATTTCTAATATACTGTCATTAGCTTCTATAACATTTGAATAATTTATTCTTTTTTAGCTTTTAATATTGTCTTTCCAATTGTGAAAGCAACCTTGTGTGCTTTTTTCAGGAAGAAGGTGTGGTTAAAATATTTTATATAAAATTAAAATAGCCTCACAATCTTTTAATTCTCCTTTGCTTTTGCCTTGATTCTTTCCATTCCTACTGTGGTATTTTTGTTCTATTTTTTTCACCACCTTATTTATACGTTTAAGAAAGATACTGGTGGGTATTTTAGTGAAAATGAGAACTTCACAAGGATAACCAGCATCTTATGTGCTTACAGAATATCCAGGCAGTCTGATTAGAAGGATGATTAATGCTTTGGTATTACTATGTACAGTACTATCAATAGGAGTGATTCTCTACTCCTGCAAGGAAAGGACTTATAATTTATGTCATATAAAGGTGTGCTCAATAGTAACAGATGGTTATCACCAAAAGTTTTCCATGCCCATCACCCTAAATCTTCTTAAGAATCTAAGTATTACCTCTGAAGCTGGTATCTTTTTCACTAGGGTCTTGAAAAAAAGAAACCTTTGTTAGATGTCCAGTGGACAAGACTCTCCTTCCAACTCATTCATTGGTTACATACAAAAGAAAAAGACAGAAGAACTGAAAGAATTATAAAAGATAGCCAAATATAATTGCATTAGATACGGAGCAAAAATCTGATATTCTAAATGTATCTGTTTCTAGACACCAAAGCTGTTTTGTAAATCAAAGGTAACCAGAACTCTGTAAATCTGAGAAGAAATGTGATTACGTTAGGAGTAAATTTGGGTCAAAGATTCAGAATGTTTTTTTCCACCAAGTAGTATTGAGTCAAACAGTACTATTGACAGGATTCTGAGCATTAAAGACAGGCATCGCTGGACTTTCACAATATTTCCTCAGACGTTGGTAGATTGGGCTTGGTATGTACAATGAATTGAAATGTAGCACATCATTCTCAGTCAAATGCCCTGTGACACAGCATGTACCTCTTATCCTAGATTCATGGTTCAGATCTACCAGCATGTTCTGTCCTTGGTTTTTGCTGTTCAGGAGATCAATGAAAACCCTCAGATCGTATCCAATGTCACCCTCGGCTTCCACATCTATAACAGTCGCTTCATGCCAAGTCCAACTTACCATGCCTCCTTGGAAATTTTCTCTACAAAAGGCAGATTCACCCCTAATTACAATTGTGATACCCAGAACAATCTAATGGCAGTCATCGGCGGACCTAACCCTGAAGTCATCCGCCACATGGCTACTATTTTGTCCATCTTCAAATGTCCGCAGGTAAGATTTGCTAAGAAGGCATGGGAGTGCATTATTATTCCTTTGAGGTTTAAAGAGACAAAAACTGCGAAGGAAATGAAGGCAAATCCGTTGCTTTTATTTTTTCAGTGAGTAATTATGTTAGAAGGAGCTATCAAAATACAGTACCACTTTGTGGTTTTCTACCATCTTTTGGTTATTGGAGGATCTAACCCTCAAATCATTTGCCACATGGCTACCATTCTGTGTATCTTCAAATGTCTCCATATAAAATTTGTAGATGGCTAACACCAGTTTCTCACATCAGTTTCTTTTTAATATTCCTTTGTGGTTTAAAGACAGAATAAAATTCAGGGCAGGGGGAAGCAAATCAATTTTTTTATTATTTTCTTCTGTGAGTAGTCATGTTAGAAGGAACAATCAAAACCCCTTTCTCCACTCTCTTGAGGATAGTATCATTTAAATTGGCAGATCATTAGCTTAGTATAAACAGAGACACAGACAGACAGGTACATTTACTTCTCATTTTAAAAAATAATAATTTCAAAAATTAAAATGAATGAATGAATGAATATTGTATATAAGATGGCTGCTGAAGGATTTTAAAGTTTAGTAGAATTGGTGCTGTTGTTTGGCTAATACAGTTGGATCTATATATCTATTGTTGTTCTTTAGTCGTTAAATCGTGTACAACTCTTCGTGACCTCATGGACCAGAGCACATCAGGCCCTCCTGTCTTCCCCTGCCTCCTAGACTTTGGTCAAAATATCTAGATCTAGATCTTTTAAAAAGTAGTTATTGCTTTTACTCCTTTCTTTTCCTTCTGTTGTGTTCAGCTGATATATGGCTCTGCTCCATTGGTCAATGAAAATCCCCAGGCTGCTTTCTATCACCAGATGTTCCCAAATGTGGACCATCAGTACAAAGGTATTCTTCAACTCTTGCTGCATTTTGGATGGATGTGGACTGGGGTGATGACCATGAATAATGACAATGGAGAGAGGTTCATCAATGAGATTCTCCCTATATTTGCCCAGGAAGGTATTTGCTTGGATTTTATACAAAGGTGGACAGTAGTTACATATTCCAATGACATCACCGAAATGGTGGCAGAGGGGATCAAAATTTACCACGTGATCATGAGCAGCACTGTTAATGCAGTGATAATTCATGGTGAAATTGACACCATGATAATTTTGAGAATGTTTCCTGGTATGTCAACTTACGAGGATATATCATGGGAAACCAAAGGTAAAATCTGGATCATGACCATTCAGATGGACTTTACATCACTTCCCTTTCAAAGAAGCTTGGATTTAAACTTCCTCCATGGTGCACTATCCTTTTCAGTTCATTCTGAGGATGTGCCAGGATTTCATAATTTTCTTCAGTCCAGAAATCCTACCTTGAAAAATTACGATGGCTTTATCCAGGTCTTCTGGGAAGAAGCATTCCAATGTTCGTTCCTCAGGTCCGTGAGATACACCCAGTCTGAGTCAATCTGCACTGGAGAGGAGAAGCTGGAGAGTCTTCCTGCCTCTGTTTTTGAAATGAAAATGACCAGTTTCAGTTACAGCATCTACAATGCAGTCTATGCTTTGGCATATGCTTTGCATGAAATGTACTTATCGCAGTTCAAATCCCGAGGAAGTTTAGATGAAGCAGGACCAAATGTTCTGAAGAAACAGCCATGGAAGGTAAGGTCTTGAACATTTGGAACGAAGGGTATCTCGTGTGGCAAAGGTGAGGGAATGTGTTTCAAAGAAAATCAATCCAAGTCTGTGGATGGAACAACTTCAGTTTTGGAGGACCAAGTCTACTTCAGTTGGCCAAAATATCCAATACTGGGGGTTTGAAGGAATCAATAACATTGGTGGAATATAGTAACCTGGGTTTCAAGAGAAATAGAAACAATGACTGAGAATCTTCACAGATATATCATATGGGATGTTCTATTATTTTCTTTTTGCCAAAGAAATTCTATGGAAAATCTTGTGGAACTTCTCTGAGGTGTTCTGGTCACTGTGTTATGGATGAATATCAAACTCCACAGGATTATTATGACTGCCTTGCAGGAGAGTAGAGGGGAAATGGGAAGTGGTGCAGAATCATCCAAATCCTCTACAGGAAGGATATCTTACCTGAACAGGACTCCCCAAACAGAATGTAAAGCTGAAATATGGCAGGGGATAAACATTTAGAAATCAGGGAGGATGAGACCAGGTGCCCATTTTCAGGCGAAGTCAAGAAATCAGGAGGAAGGCTTGGTTGGGAGTCCTGAAATGTGGAAAGAGAAAAATGCAGAAGAATGAGAAATTTTGCAAATTCTTATCACATTGCTGATTGGGGAAATTGGAGAATGAACACTGGGAGAATATGCACTTATTTAGCATCAAATTATTCCTGCCCATGGTTTGGAGGAGTGCTTTATTGTCATTGACCAACATTTTAACCTTTTTATTGCAAAGTTATTTCTAATTATTAATTTGTTTAATAATAAAGATCATGTGACATGCTGTAATAATCTCTAACTGTACAACAGTATGATGATGTTTTTAATCCCCAGAGCACCATCCTACTGTTGTTGAGGTATGGATCTTTGAGCATCTGTATAATACTGAGTCTCTTTAAAATGACTTTCTTAGCATAGGTCATAACATTGCCTGAATATCACAGAGACAAAGGATCGTCATCCTTTTCAAAACTATAGGACTTTAGCTTTTCTTTGGTCTCTTTTTCATATTAACTTTCATTGTTCAATTTAGCTCAACCACTTCGTGAGAAGGGTTTCATTCAATAACAGCGCTGGAACAAAAGTCTCCTTCAACCAACTTGGGGAGCTAGAAGCAGGATTTGATATTATCAACTGGGTCCCTTTCCCAAACCAATCCTTTCTTAGAGTGAGAATTGGAAGAATAGACCCTATGGCTTCCCAAGGAGAAATGTTCACAATTCGTGAAGAAGCTATTGTGTGGCCAAGGAGATTTAACCAGGTAAGGTCCACCACATGTGTAACCATTTAGAAGTCATTTCCCGAGGGTTCAAGACATTCTTCTTTGTTTAGATGTCATAAAGTCCCATCCTTGGTATCTTGGATCTTTAGATGTCTTCAAAACTACTTCTGCAATGATTCATTTTAGAAACACTCATGGGACAACATCCCTGGTTTCCTCTTGAGACCAGAATAGCTTCAAGAGAGGTTGCATGAACACCCATGTTGCCTATAGATCTGTTTCTTTCAGGAGCCTGCTGCTATCCCACCAGTATCAGCTGCCAATGCAACCAACGCTTTGACCAATTGTAGGACCTGCCATCTCTATTCCACCCAGTGGAATAGTTGTAATTAATGTTCTTGCCTCTTCATGACTAACAAAGAAGCATGCCCAGTGGTGTCGAACTGTGGCCCTCCAGATGTTCTTGGCCTTCAACTCCCAGAAATCCTGGCCAGCAGAGGTGGTGGTGAAGGCTTCTGGGAGTTGAAGTCCAAGAACAGCTGGAGGGCCACAGTTCGACACCACTGCCTTAGACAGTGTACTGTATTCCAATTACTCTCTGCCTCGTAGCTTTGCATCACTGAGGGAGGGTCAGACCTCTGCTCTTCCAAGATGATCCATGGAGTGTTCACCAAGATTTCCTCTTCTCCTGCTCACCTGGCTAGCTTTGAGTTGTTGAAATAAATTGGTGAATTGAACCACTGGAAACAGCCACTCCAACAGGGCTTACTAAAAGTTGTGTGGAGAAGGACAATATTTTGCCTCCACGTTTTAGATTCAAACGAGGAAGAGAGGTGAATCCTTCTTTCTAACATCCCTTCTGCTTATGAAACCATCTGTTTCATGAGCATTTGGGTGGTTTGGAGGCTTGGACAAGGGAGTATTCATTGGTTAGGAAAGAGCATAATTTTTGTCCATTTCTAGTAAGAATTTACTATCATTCTCTAAAAAGCAAAGCAAAGCATACTGCTTGTTTACTGCCTTGTAGTGCTTAAAGCAGTCTCTGGGCAGTTAAAAATTGTGTTTGTTCAGGATACACACATACCCCATCCCCAGCAAACTGGGTACTCAGTTTACCATCCTCAGAAGGATGGAAGGCTGAATGAACCTCAAACTGGCTACCTGGGACTGAACCAGGGTCCGGAGCAAAGGTTTGGCTGCAGAAGTGCAATTTAACAAGTACTGCGCCACAAGGCTCCCTTCTTTATATCTAGAATGGAAAGGAAGCAGCAACCATGCACCAGAGAAAAACTGCCAAAAATTGTCTTTTTCATCAAACCTGGCCATTCCCCACCCACCCTATCTTGTGCTGTCAAGTCACAACTGACATGTAGTGACTCTACTAGGGTTTCAAGGTAAGTGGAGTATTGAGGAATTATTTTATCCCTTCCACAACCCTAGTGAGTTTCAGTAGCAAAGGAACCAAAACCAGGTCTCTTGAACCCAGGTCTGTTACAATATTCTCCATACCACACTGGGTAAACCTTATCTTGTTTGGCTCTGATACGAGTCTGAGTTCTATATCCCATTATCTACGTTTTGCGAAACAGGCCTTTCAGCTTCATAAAATCTCCCAATTTTTTGCTTTCATACCAGTTGCCCGCCTTTGATACAAAGAAAGCAAAACAGGAAGTATTTCTGAAGAGAAGATGATAACTGAAAAAAACACTAAGAATATTCTTGTATTTCAATTGTGAACAGGCACAGCCCCTTTCTCAGTGTAATGACCATTGTCATGCGGGTTACAGGAAGGCCACAAAAGAAGGAGAACCATTTTGTTGTTACAATTGCCTTCCATGTCTAGAAGGGAAAATTTCCAACCAGAAGGGTAAGCAGATCCACCTAGTGAATTTTCCAGGGATATTAACAGATAGATTGGATGAACTGTATGGATGTTAATGGAAGTGAAGAATAGTTTCCAGTTGTTAGCCTCCTTCAGATGTGCCAGTGTCCCCCAGGGAACCTTACGGCCCCCATTGAGAATGACTCTTGTGCTCACAACCATTCACAAGTGACACCAAGCAAGAAGAAATCTCAGAAACTGATTCCTTTTTTTCATTAGTTCTCAGCCAAACACAGCACAATTGTCAGGGCTGTTTTTCAACAAGTGTTCATGGTAGTGAGCACAAGAAGGGATCCTGTCGATCATCTTGACTGCTGCCATTGATGTCTTCAACATTCAGGCTGCCCTTAGCTATGTTAAGCTTGGCATCCTTTTTCCTTCTGCCAAGCATACTCAGCAAGAATATCCCCAGCAACAAAGCAAAAAACAGGAATAAATGACTGAGTTTCTCAACATTTATTCTGTATTATTTTTAAATTTAAATTTGAATGTTTTTAAATATATGTTTACAACTAGAAACAGAATCTCTGTTTACTGGTTAGCTGTGCAGTATAATAAATATACATTGTCTCTATTTTAAGACCAATACTTATTTTCTAGACATCGATGACTGCTTTCATTGTCCAGAAGATCAATACCCAAACAAGGAGAAAAATGACTGCCTTCCGAAAAATGTAAGCTTCCTCTCTTTTGAAGAACCTTTGGGGATCGGTTTGGCTATCTCTGCTTTTCTTCTTTTTCTCATCACAGTGTTGGTGCTTGGGATATTCACTAAGTACAAGGACACTCCAATAGTCAAAGCCAACAACCGGAACCTTTCTTACACCCTCCTCGTCTCCCTGATGCTCTCCTTCCTTTGTGTTCTGCTATTCATTGGACAGCCTGGAAAAGTGGCCTGTCTCCTTCAACAAACAGCTTTTGGACTCATCTTCTCAGTGGCAATTGCCTGTGTATTAGCCAAAACCATTATGGTGGTTTGTGCTTTCATGGCCACCAAACCAGGCTCCAGGGTGAGGAAATGGATGGGGAAGAAATTGGTCACCTCCATCGTCTTTTCTTCAACTTTGACTCAAGCCACTCTTTGCACTGTGTGGTTGGCCACCTCTCCTCCCTTCCCAGATCTTGACATTCACTCCGCAGCTGAAGAAATTGTTGTAAAATGTAATGATGGGTCTGCCATCATGTTCTACTGTATCCTAGGCTTTTTAGGCTTTTTGTCCCTAAGCAGTTTCCTTGTGGCTTTCTTTGCAAGAAGGCTACCGGACAGTTTCAATGAAGCCAAGCTGATCACCTTTAGCATGTTGGTGTTTTGCGGCGTTTGGTTATCCTTTGTGCCCACCTATCTGAGCACCAAGGGGAAATACATGGTGGCTGTGGAGATCTTCTCCATCCTGGCCTCCAGTGTTAGTTTGCTGGTTTGCATCTTTTTCCCCAAATGTTACATCATTTTGGAAAGGCCTGATTTGAACAACAGGGGGCAGCTAGTAAGGAGAAAGTTTTAGAAGTTCTAATTGCCTTTGGTCTTTAATCAGCAAAGCTTTCCTGCTAATGAATCATTGGTTGAATAAATCAAATACATTGCAAAAATACCTTGGTTTTCTGTCTTCCTTTCCCCTCCCTTCCCTTCACTTTATCTCTTTATTTTCTTTGGCTTTAAATTCAGATCTTCTTCATATCCAATCTCTGAAATATATACTCACTGAGGAAGATCTTGCTCCAGTGCACAGGAGTCTGCAAAACCTTGACAACTTTTGTTTCTTCTGATATTTCAGGTTCCTTGGCACTTGGTAGCACAAAAAGAACATGAAATGGCTACTTCTTCTCCAAGGGGAAAGCCTAAACACAACATAGAAAATACAAATACTTCTTTCACTCAGAAAAGTCTTCACCTCCGTCCAGAACTGATATTGGAAGCTGGATAAAAATGTCTGGCAAAAATATAAATATACCCTGGAGTAAGAAGTGGTCTTTGAGTTTACCACCAGAAAAGGATGGAGAAGAAAAACCTTACAGCATATGAGTCATCCACCTGTCCAATGTTTGATCATTACAATAAGTGCCAAGTCTTTGTATTAATTTCTCTACTCCAGAAACCCTTTTTAATGGAAAAGAGGGTATTCTAGAGCAGTTGTCCCCAACCTTGGGACTCCGGATGTACTTGGACTTCAACTCCCAGAAATCCTGACCAGCAGAGGTGGTGGTGAAGGCTTCTGGGAGTTGTAGTCCAAGAACTCTGGAGGCTCAACGTTGGGGACCACTGTTCTAGAGGATGAATGAATTTAATTCCCCGCTATGCCTCTTTGACAGGGACTGAACTCAGTGATCTATAGGTTCATTTCCAGCTTTGCAGTTCTAAGATGATGATGATGATGATCTGTTTCAAACTCCAGACTTTTCATGTTTGAAATTAAATTCTAGAGCTACCTGTCCCAACGTTTCCTGCCAAGTTGAAAAAGTCAGCAGGTTATCTAGTTGGTTGTCAGACAGCTAGTTCCTCCATTGGTAGGGTGGAAAAGGAAGGAAGGAAGGAAGGAAGGAAGGAAGGAAGGAAGGAAGGAAGGGCTTTCCCGTTATGTTTGCTCCTTTTTAACCACGTCTTTGAAATCTTCTTAGTCCACACCTCCCATCTTTCCCAGACAGCATAACTATTGCTAGCTGTGCAATTCTGGGAGCTCGAGTTCAAAAATAATATTTCTAGGCATTGCTTTTAATAGTGGCTGGACAATGTATTCAAGTCAGCCTCTGATGACATTATTTTGTCAACAACAATCACCTTCCTTGGATTTGACACAATGGCCATGTTTAGTATTCTTCTCTAAATCCTTAAATTCTATACCTCATTTTAGTGTATTCGAATCAAGGGAAAAAATCCTTTAGGGGGAAAAATACATGACTTCATATTTTAACCTTTAATTTGTACTTGTGAGTATGTTGTTGTTCCTGGTGTTGCTAAGAAGTCCAGGTTGAGGTTCCTTGGGAAATACTGGGCTTTAGTTATAGATATTCTGGCTGAGCATAAATGGAAGCACCACTTCAATAGTCCAAATGATAGCCAGAGACCCCCGACATCTTATCTCCAGAAAGAAGCAGACAGCACCTCAGAATTCTTGCTAAGACCATCACACTTCATGTCAATTGAAAGTCCAAAAAGTGGCACAAAACTGCTTTCTTCTTGCATCTTTTTCCAGAGAGAACTAGATTATGTCACCTTTACCAAGGAGTGAAGCTGAATGTCTATTTTTGTCCCATTCTGGCCTCAGGTGACATGCCAGATTCCTATTGCAAAATGCACCATCAGTGACCCTCTTCCTATCCTTTACAAGCATCACCAGTCAGGAGACATCATCATTGGTGCCATTATGTCTCAGATCTATGTCTTCTCTGCTCTGGTAACCTTCACAAACCGTCCCTCTCCTGACCTCTTTGATGACATCGTGTATGTATTTTTTTTAATAAAATGCTCTGAAACGCATCCACCTGGCCTTTTGGTCAAAAGCTGCTTCATAGATTGTGAGTTTCAGTAGATAGTTTGCAACTTACCGGCATTATATTTTGCATTTCTGAATGAATGATAAATCCTAGCTCTGATGTTTGTTCCTCTTTCTTGTCGTTAATGCCAGTTATGTATCTTATATCCCAAGCATTCTTCCATAACCAGACCATTGTTTCCAATGTCCTAAGTATTAGGAGCACAGGACTGGATAGGATGATGAAAATACTCTCTTTCCTAGTCTTTCTTTGGGCTGACGTTATCAGAGACAATAAACGGGATGGTTTCCATTTTGTTGCTTCTATATATATATATATATATATCTTGTAAAGCTTTTACCTAACATTTCTAATATACTGTCATTAGCTTCTATAACATTTGAATAATTTATTCTTTTTTAGCTTTTAATATTGTCTTTCCAATTGTGAAAGCAACCTTGTGTGCTTTTTTCAGGAAGAAGGTGTGGTTAAAATATTTTATATAAAATTAAAATAGCCTCACAATCTTTTAATTCTCCTTTATTGGTGCCATTATGTCTCAGATCTATGTCTTCTCTGCTCTGGTAACCTTCACAAACCGTCCCTCTCCTGACCTCTTTGATGACATCGTGTATGTATGTTTTTTTTTTAAATAAAATGCTCTGAAACGCATCCACCTGGCCTTTTGGTCAAAAGCTGCTTCATAGATTGTGAGTTTCAGTAGATAGTTTGCAACTTACCGGCATTATATTTTGCATTTCTGAATGAATGATAAATCCTAGCTCTGATGTTTGTTCCTCTTTCTTGTCCTTTAGAGTAATGCCAGTTATGTATCTTATATCCTAAGCATTCTTCCATATATATATTTATAATGCTTTTACCTAACATTTCTCATATACTGTCATTAGCTTCTTTAATATTTGAATAATTTACTGTTTTTTAGCTTTTAACATTGTCTTTCAATTTGTGAAAGCTACCTTGTGTCCTTTTTTCAGGAATAAGGTGGGGTAAAAATATTTTTAAATAAAATAAAAATAAAAGAAGACAGTGGTTGACCCTCCTTTTGGGCTGAGAAGGGAAGCCTCACAATCTTTTAATTCTCCTTTTCTTTTGCCTTGATTCTCTGCATTCCTTCTGTGGTTTCTTTGTTCTAGTTTTTTTTTTTTCACCACCTTATTTTTACCTTTAAGAAAGATACTGGTGGTTATTTTACTGAAAATTAGAACTTCACAAGGATTACCAGCATTTTATGGATTTACAGAGTATTTAGGCAGTCAGAGTAGAAGGATGATTAATGCTTTTGTGTTACTATTTACAGTACTATCAATGGTACTAAAATAGGATTAATTCCCCACTCCTGAAAGGAAAAGACTTTACTTTTACTTTTTTAAAACTTTTATTAGAATTTTTACCCCGCCCCCCCTAGACAAAGTCTACTTGGGGCGGCTTACACACATAATAAAAAACATAACAATGTAACAATGTAAAAACAAAGACTTTTAATTTATGCTATATCTATGTGCTCAATAGTAACAGATGGTTATCACCAAAAGTTTTC